AGTCGGGAGCTAGGCAGGACTAGTGGGCTCCAGCAGGTACTGCAAGTGACCCAAGCCAGGCCATCGACCCTTCCTGGGGGACCCCTGGCCTTCTGAATTGGAGAAGGAATCCCTGCTCTTCTCTAGGGATTCAAGCTCTCAGTTGGTGACCCTGGAGGTGCTGACAGTCACAGTCTCTGCGTTATGGAGAGCCCTGGGAAGAAACGTTGAGGGAGGAAAGAGGAGTTGGAAAGGAGAAGACAAATATTAACATTGTTGTTCAGCTTTGGGTCCGCCTGCCCTTTCCAGGTATATGAGCTAGTGAACCATGCCCCTTTGCTCCATTTTTATTTTTGGCCTAAGCCTTTTGGGTGCATTTCTTTCCCTTGCAACTAAAGGAGTTCCCATGGTGCTAGTTTTTCTCCATTTCTCCCACGTCCCTTCTTCAGCCTTCTCTGCCTGGCTCTCTGCTCAGGAAGACTGAGCCAGCTCCGACTGGGTGCCCGTCCTATGGCTCCAGTAAGTGTCCCCTGCATTGTCCCTTCAGGCCTACAGGTGGGAGTGGCTTCCTGTGGTTGCTAGGTGGGTGCCTCCTCACCTGCTCTACTGGCTTCCTTTACTCTACCCACACCTTTATAAATAAATAGCCCTTCCATTGAGTTTCATGGGGATAACCTTCTGAGTGTGCCTTGTTTCCTGCTGATACATCCTGACTGATACGTCTGCTGGTGGCGCTTCCTGTATTTAGTCACCAGAGTCCATTGATTCTAATTCCTAAATGCTCTTGAACCTTTCTGCTTTGTTCCATCATCACAGCTATTGCCTTGGTTTAGGCCCCCAAATCTCTTGCCTGGACCAATGCCACAGCCTCTTAATCATCACTCTGTATTCACCATTGTCCCTTCTCATTGGTCCCTGACTCTATGGTCAGAATGATTTTTCTGCAAGGCCTTTAGTAACATTTAGTAAAAACTCAATGATTCCTCATTGTCTTCGGGTTCAAGTTCAACCCCTTACCAGAGCAAAAGGATGTTCACGGTAGAGACTCTTCCCTTCTCTGCCTCCACATTTCCCTGCCAAGCAGATACCCTTGGATGCTTCCAGACCTCCTTTAAGACGTTTGCCCAGGCATCACCTCCCCCCGATCTGCACCAGGGTCTGGAGCTAGTGCACACTGCATGTCTGAGGGATCGCTGTATCCTCAGGGCTCATCATTGCCCAGCCCTGCCTTGGCTGAACGAGGCTCGGCTGTGCGGAGAAGATGCATTTAATTCCATGTCTCCGTTTTTTTCTAGTAATAAGTACTAGAAAATCATGGGATGGTGAACATGCCTCTAGTATGTGCAGAAAAAGTGCTCTGAAGATGTGAGTGCGGACTGTTTAGGCCGACCCCAACCAATGACTTTATTTACCCTACTAGCAGTCAGTTAAAAATAAAGAAAGAAAGAAAGAAAAAATAAAAAGATATGGCTACACTTGTGTGGACATGGACACCAAAACTGGCAATTTACAAACCAATCGGTTCTCACCGGGAACCAGCGCCCTCTGTTGGTGTGATGACCACAGCGCAGGCGCAGAGGAGGGAGAGGGCAGGAAGGGTGGGGAGGGGCCAAGGTAAAAATAGCTGATAACCACAACAGCTGTTTATTCC